CAAGCACAAGAGCCTGTTTATTACTAGCCAGCTAAACATCACTAACAGCTATAAATTCAATCTAGCACATCCCAATCAAATCTGTTATCTCAAACCCATGTCCCACGTTGGGCGCCAAAAAGAACTGTCATGGTTTAACCCCAGCCAGCAGCCAAGAACCACACAGCCTCTCACTCACTCCCCCACCACCGGGATGGGGGAGCGAATCAGAAGGGTAAAAGCTACAAAAACTCATGGGTTGAGGTAAAGACAGTTTAATAGAGAAAGCAAAAGCTGCACACACAAGCAAAGCAAAACAAGGAATTAATTCACTGCTTCACAGGAGATGTTCAGCCATCTCCAGGAGAGCAGGGCCCATCACGCGTAACGGTTCCTTGGGAAGACAGACGCCATCACTCCAGATGTCCCCCCTTCCTCCTTCTTCCTCCCACCTTATATACTGAGCATGATGACATATGGTATAGAATATCCCTTTGGTCAGTTTGGGTCACCTGTTCCAGCTGTGTCTCTTCCCAATCTCCCGTGCATACCCAACTTCCTTGCCAGTGTGGCAGTAAGGAACGCAGCAAAGGCCTTGACTCTGTGTAAGCTCTGCTCAGCAACAGCAAAAACATCTCTGCATTATCAACTCTGTGTTCAGCACAAAACCCAAACATAGCCTCATACTAGCCTCTATGAAGAAAGTTAACTCTGCTCCAGCTCAAACCAGCGCACTCTGAAATGAAATTTTATCCAAGACACATCTAATACTTTGTGCATGTTTTCCCAGTTCATTGCTTCATTTGTTGTTGATCCATTTAAAGAAATTTCTTCTGTAAAGTTGTTCTCCTGCATGCTTCTGTAATACCCGATCCAAACTTGATATGTTTGTAGGTCTTTGAACATGCATCATTGTGGATCTTGCTCATGGTGTTTTGGGCATCAGTCATATGAGTAGCTCGGTCCATTTATGTTGCCTAAGGGGTGAAGCAAAAGTTGTGGCCCTGCCTTACTTCCTGTGTAATGTCTTTTGTTTTGGGAACACTTGTTGGATAGCTTTGGGCAGCCTCTTGGTAGGTAGCATGTCCTCCTGGACTGTAGGTTTGTTGCCATCTATGGAGAGCCTGGAGAAGGAAATGCCTGAACTGAACAGGGGCTCACATACTGCCCTCGTTCCGCTAGTGGAAAAGCTTGGTTGAAAGACGTTCGAAGTTTGGGTATTGAGTAACAAGAAGAGTTGACTAAAGCACAAAACTATACTTATTTTAACATGAGTGGAGGCAGGACTTGCTCTGACTGAACCTTAAAGTCCAGCGCAGTGAGCACAAGGAGCTGCAGTGAATGAGCAGTCACCACTTGGCTTGACCTTGACCAGTGGTGGGTCTATCTTGGAACTGGTTGCCATTGGCTCTGTTGGACATGGGGGAAGCCTCTGTCAGCTCCTTGCAGAAGCCACTCCTGTAGCCTTCCTGCTACCAAAACCTGGCCACGAACACCCAGTACATTAGTTCAGACACTGGAAATCCTACTGTCAGTGTTGTGTGTTTGAAGAGTAACATGTTAGACTCATTTTATTGTAAATCTTAAACTGGGTAGTAATCGTGGATTCATTGAAATATCTGAGACTTTTGAGTTAAGATATCCCATTTTTTTAAAAGAAACACATAGAAGTGCCTGTTTAGATCCAACGTGCTCTTTGTAAACAAAATAATGTGGGTTTCTGGACCTTTCCTGTTTATTTAACCCTTTACTTTTGTTTCAGCTGTAGAGTCCAGAACCATGCAAAATGTTTTGTTTTAATTAAACTTTTGCAGTCAATGATAGTCTGAATATTGATAGAGATCTCCCATCCTTTTTGCACTAAGATCAGTTGCAATTCTGTCCTAGTTTAGTGTAAATTAAATGCACCATATGACTACAGATTCCAGCTTTGTATAGCATAGAGGCAAGCAGATGTGACAGTGACTTCCATCCTTGGTAGGTAGCTTCCTTTTACCATGAAGCAGTGTTTGGTATGTATGTTTGTATTGCTGCTCAAGGTTAAAACACAAGTCTTTGAAACCTCTGACTCTCCTTAAGATGGGAAGCACATGTACAGAGCCCACAGATTGGCAGTCACTGTGATAGGGATAGTAGGAAGATGTTACTGCCACTTTGCCTGATGAAATACATTGTAGCCTTTCTCCTTTTTCCCCCTTTTTTTTTCCCTTCTAAATTAATGTCTAATCCCTCTTGGAAAAAGTATTGCTTTCTATGCAGCCTGCTGAGCATCATTTTATAATGAGGTTTCATCACAGTGGGTATTACTATAATAGGCTGTAAGATTTTTCCCTCCCTAACCCATAGAGTCACTGGCCTATATTTTCTGGAGATGTGAATAGTCTCAGTTTTAGGGGTGAGATCCATTGAATAGGAGGCCAGTTCTTTTCTCACCTAATAAGGACTTTCAATTGAAATAGGTAAAAAATGAAGTAATCCAAAATAAAAGTTTTTCCAGCATAAACACAAATTCTTCTCTCTCTGTTTGATTAATTTTCCATTTGGTTGTAGAGTGCAGTAGAGAGGTTATGGATGAGAGTATGGATGAGGGTGGTTGGTGCAGGAAATAAGGAGGTAATTGTGAGAACTCATTGCCAATTGCACATCCCCATAACAGTTCCTGAACATGCACATGGTGCAGTCCTGGTTCTCTAGTTGTTTAGTAGAGAGAGGTGTCAGGTGTGCAGTCTTTGTTTTTGAATATTCAGGATGAATTTTTAATAATATTTTAGAAAACACTTCCTGGGTGACTTTCAAAAGTGTGATAGCACTTGTTAACCAATATTTTCTATTGCTCCAGGTGGGGAAACTGAGAGAAAAAATCCAAGAGGTTAAGCAAGAAAGGGAGCAGGAGCAGCACAAGCACACTGCCTATGTTTCTGAACTGAAAGCCAAGCTCCACGAGGAGAAAATGAAGGAACTTCAGAGTGTCAGAGAGCTACTGATCCGGCAGCACGAGCAGGAGGTGGCAAGAATGGTGAAAATCAAAGATGGTGAAATTCAGCGTTTGCAGTCAACAGTCAATGTCCTGCGGGACGGGGCAGCTGACAAAGTGAAGACAGCACTGCTGAGCGAAGCGAAGGAGGAGGCTCGCAAGGCGTTCGATGGGGAACGAATCAAGTTGCAGCAAGAGATCTTGGAGCTGAAATCTGGCAAAAAGCAGCTTGAAGAAGCTTTGAACAACATCATGCAGGCAGATAAAATGAAGGCTGCAGACCTGCGCACGGCGTATCAGTCCCACCAGGATGAGATCAATAGGATCAAGAGGGAATGTGAGAGAGAGATCCGCAGGCTGGTAAGTTCTTGAGTGATGCTGCTTATTTCAGTGTATAGCAGGTGTTACTATGTATGTACCCGTAAATATCAAAGCACTCTTTGGCAGTGACAATTTTCATCAGTGCTGATTGCTGCAATGGGCCACTGTTTCCACTACCTTCTCCTCCTTAGAGCAAAGATGAATCTTGGCTCCATGGTTTACCCAACACACTCCAAAGCTTCATGTTGCATTAAGTGTAATACTAGGCAACCAAGACTTTTCAGGATGAATTTTCTCAACAGATCAAAGAAATAGACTTTCCCATTCCCACTTGCTCAGTGATACTCCTGGTGAACCAAACAAGTCAAGCATTGCTCATTTGGCAGTGCAACAACTTTGTGAGATGGCAAAATTAACTTCTCGTAGAGCTTTTGTATTTAAACTGAAGGAACCAATTGTGCTGAAGCAAGACAATGTCTTTGCTTCTTGGGCATCTTTATCCAGGTCATTCAATTTTGCTGCCCTTTTTTATTTTTCAAATTTTCTGTGTTTTTTTCTATAGCAGCAGAAAAGTTAGGGCCTAGGACAGCAGGCTTTTTTCACGCTTCGTAAACCTAGGACTTCAGCACAGATGGCAGACTGTGCTGTTAGTCTAAAATTGAAAACCAGGCAGTATTTCCCAACAGTGGGTGCCCCAAATATTTCAAATTATTCAGCTTTGTGAAATGTAAGGAATCTAAGATGAGCTGTACATACTAGTGCATTTAGAGAGGTCCTCATCAAAAGACACTTCTGTTTGGTACCATGATATTTACCATATGCATATATATATATATCTAATTGTTAATCTGCATAATCCAGCAGTGCAAAAACTATGCAAATAAATTCTAAGATTACAATAAGGTTATTGTTTATCTTATGCCAAAAAGTACAGACTTGGAATGGAATGAAACATTAGTTTCCTTATGAAATGTCAGTTTGCATTTGTGCAGATATAACCTCTTATTTCTTGTACTCCTTGCAAAAAATATTGGTGAGGGCAAGCTACAAACATTTAATACCTGTTTAATGGTGGTGATTTTCTAAGACAATGAAAGCTTTTTATGCAGTTAATATTTACACTTGAAATGAAATGGATGTTGATCAAGTGTCAGGGGTATCATTTCCTCCATTAATTAAAGACTGATAGTGTGGGGTTTCTGCAAACAATTTCTTTCATATTTTGTTCTGTTATAAATGTAGAATGCTAAAATAGTGACTATGAAGTACAGGCAATTTTAAAAAGTGTTAGAGGAGAGAAGATTAATATATTCTGGCACATGTTTTTCTGGAGAACATTTTCTAAGTGAATTTAGCCTTCTCAAAGGGTACCTCACCAAGAAATGGTGAGGTGAGGCACATATAGCAGTGCACCCCAAATTCTGTCCTGCCAAATCACTGCAGTAAATAAACCATTGCTAGGCCTTTGAGTGGTATTTTACGAGAAACACTTAACTCTTCACTTTCAAGGGTAGAAGCTTTCAGCCTGCTGCAGTGCAGAGGTGATGAAGAAGGGCACTCTGTTTTCTGTCCCCCCCACAAAATAGTCCTGTCAAGTCATTTAGAGTTTTAATTGGAGCCTTGCTGAGCCTCTGTTACTCAGTATATCTGAAAAGGTGAATGTACTGGGGGAGTGTGTAGACAATTCTTTCCTATTCCTAGCACCAGAGGAAACCTGCCATTGGTCTGATGGGAAACCTCTGTATCTTCCTCCAGGAGCCTGGTGCTGCCTTGTAGTGCCTCCACTCCTATCATATAATGAATTTCAATTTTTTCATTAAATTTTATGGTGTTGTTTATGGGGTTTTTTTGAGAAGTGCTTCTTCGAGGCATTCATAGCAGTTTAGGCAGTTGTTACTGCAAAGGGCACTCTTTAAATCTGGGGCAAGATAAAAAATACTGCAGGGTTTCTAGATGCTGCTCTTTTCCTTTGAGAGAGCAACTGGGATTATAGAATCTGATCATCAGGATATTTTCCTCTCTCCTCTCCCCCCCCACCTCATTTTAATTAGTTCAAGGGATGCTTGCCTTCAGTTTCAGATTAACCCTGTCAGCTCTGGATTTGGGGTTCTCGCTTGGTTCCTACCCTCGTGGGATGAAATGGCAAAGATAAGACAGGCAGTGTTATTAATACCAGCACAGTTCTGTAGCTAAGCCTCAATTAATGTGCTCTTTAGTATGTGTGTAGTGTTTTATGGCACTATTAAGGAACCAGCATCTTTGGGATTAATGGCCTAAATGGGCAGGCCATACTGTAATTCAAATTCAGACAGAGTCATGCAGGATACAGTCTGATTGTCTTGTCAGACTTGGCTGATTTATTTTTGCATTTCAGATCACAGGTTACTTCTGCAAATGTATTTCCTATAGAGATTGCAGTTTGAAAAAAAAAAAAATCAGTATTTTTGCTGTTAATTGTAATACCCATGACTAATTTGAGTAAAATCTTGCAATTCTTGGCTGTCATCAAAAACTAAGCAATGAGAAAGGAAAAAAGCAAAATCCATTGTCTATGAATATATGGATACAATTACATTGAGTACATAAACTGCCATGCTTGTGTTGTACAAATGTCAGTATTTTAGGCATATGATTTATCAATTATGAGATTGCCTTCATAGTTTTGAATTGAGACATGAAAAATACCCAATAAACATCAATAGAAACACAAATGGAGAAGGTCCTAGTGCCTAATGTGAAAAATACAACACATTTTTTCTCTGTGCAGTATGAAATTATATTGGAATTTGTCACTTCCTGTAATGGACAATATAACAGTAATTTTCATTAATTTAGGGAATACTAGTTCGTGTGGATTTTATTCCCCCATCCACACCCCCCAGGGAAATATTTCTCTGTTGTATATATGCATCAGCACAATGTGCTGGCAGCTAAGAAACCAGAAGTAAAATTAGCTAGTAACAAACTGGAGAGACAAATGAAACAAATGTCTTAAAAGAGGCACCTTGGAGAATAAGATAAGAAAGCACGATCTGCTATTGCTGAAGTAGTTGAGTCTAAACAGTTGTAGTGTTCTGTATAATGAAAACTACATTGGTATCGGTTGAGATACTTAGTAATAGAACGAGTATTAAAAACTAGGAAATGAAAGAAAAGGGAAAAAATCGGAAATAGCAGCTGAGAAGTAATATACATGAAGGAAAAATTGTTAAAGCATGTTTCTATGAATTAAAAAGATATACAAAATCACAGTTGTACTTTTTCATTCACAGATTTTTCCATATCCACAGCCTTGAAACATATACATCCAGCTGAAGGCTGCATAGGCAAACATGTACATAGCTAACTCTGTGTGAACAGGTTTCTATTTTAATGGAATTCTTGTAAGTGATACTTCTGGTTTCCTTCTGAGGGCTAGGCTGGTACAAGGTAAATTTAATACAGACCTGATTAATGGTGAAGAGAAGTTGAGTTTATTAAGTTGTGTTTATAAAGTAGCATGAAGAGCAGAACTGTACTGAAAGGCCATTTAATGTTTTAATGCAGGCTCACAAAATTCACAAAATGAGTTTATTTCAGCCATTTTACTTAGGCCTTGATTAAGCTTGTAATTTAACTGACTTATTTGGGTTTAGAATCAGGTTTAAAGATAGTTGTCAGTGGTAAGTAAAGTTTATCTCTTTTTCGTGATGTTGCAGAAATAGCATGTTTAAATTGTTGGTGAGCTTTGGAAACAGATCAACCTTATTCTGTTATCAGCACAGCTGGGAAGGAGGGCATGGCTATTAAAGACATCATATTAGGTTACATTCATTCTAGGACTACTTGGACACTGTTTTTAAGAGGCCTTTACTTTGCAAGGCATGATTCTCTCTTAGTGTTTTTGCAGATATAAGAATAATGGACACTTTACAGTGCTTGTCTCAGAAAATATATGCAAAAGTCCAATCATTAAAAGGTTATTGAATTATGACATCACTGATCTACTTGTTTGTAGTATTTTTTGAAGAAGAAACTGAATGTTTATTTTGTGAACACTGTTAATATAAACATAACATTTAAACTTGGGAGTAAACAAATGACACTTTTATCATGTTCTGTGGTTCACAGTTATAGTATATTGTTTCTTCTACTGGAAATTCTTTAATATCAAACCTTCCACCTCTTTTGCAGCTAAATGCCATTCTACCCTGTTAAAATCTTTACATGTACAGTCTTCCTAAACATTCTTAAACAGCTTGGATTGGAATTAATTGAAAGACTTTTATCTTTAATGTAAAATAGTCCCAGTTTTCTTAACCACAAAATCAATGAAAAAGAATCCACTGATCTTATTAGATGTGCAATAAGGTTCCTGTTTAAGAGGGCACATCCTACACCAGATGAATTAAATTTGCATATTTCAATTGTACTCTCAAATAACCTCATAAAAATTGTCTAAAGAGTAATGTGACTGTACTGCAGATTCATACTTGCAAGGAAAAAATCCTTTTGCTCTTAATAGAATCAAAGTAAAAGAAATTGTGTTCAGGAGTGATTTTCAGAAGTTCCTGATCAGCCATGATTTATGGAGACAGATGCACTATTTAAGTGTCCTTAGTCTCTTTAGTCCTAATTATCTTGCTGCATAAATTAAAATCTCCTTCCAGTGTGGAACTCTTCTTCTGTTTGGTGTTCACCAAGTATATCTAGTGCAGTGCATGGAAGGATATAATTCAAGCTAATAGATTAAGCAGTTTCTAAAGGTAAAAATCAAGGACGTTTCACAGAAACTTCTGCTCAAGGGGAAAACCCTCTTACAGAATAAGCTTATGTACCATCTATATTGACTTTTACAAATATTATTATTTCAGGTTTGTGTCTGTGTGTAATGCTGCATCTCCTGATGTATGTGAAGACTTCAGAATGTATCACCTTTTCAGAGTTAAGAATTAGGTTGTTCCAGTTCAGGCCAAATCAGAATTTCAACGCATGTCCTTCACAGATTCATATTTTCTAACCTAGCACAGCTCTTAATATGTTTGTCTGCCTGTAAGTCC